GACTGACTGACTGACTGACTGACTGACTGACTGACTGACTGACTGACTGACTGACTGACTGACTGAATGCATTAAAATGTGGGATTATTGTCAGTCAGGGATCAGTGAATGAGATAAAGAGAAAGAGGAAAACTAGAGTGGAACATGAATTGAAGATATCCTAACGAAAGTTAATCGAACCCAATCATGTTAAGAGATTTCTGTCTATTGGTGTCATGTTTCAAGATGAACATTTTTAGGTGATAATGTAATCTCATCTGCGCACTGTTTTATTTCCTATACACTGTTATCTTTTGCACACACTGATAGATGCATAAAATGTTTTTTACCACTCCCTGTGGTAGGCATACTTCTTCTAAATTATGGTATTTTTTATCATCACAATATTGGTGGTGGTAACTTTTTGCTCGTTTCTCTTTATAGATCTGTTAGCTTGTTTCCGGTAGCCCTTAGCATCTTGGCAAGTTTCATGTCAGCCATCTCACTGCTTGGATATTCGGCGGAATTTTACGTTTACGGTTCGATGCTTCTTTTCTACGGCGTCGTCTACGTAATTGCGTATCCGTTAGCAGCAGTGGTGTTCATCCCGGTCTTTCATCGCCTGGACATCAAAAGTGCCTACGAGGTGCATCAGCGATAACTCTAGACTTGTGTCATAGGCATGTTTTAGTACTTGGAGCTGCGCTTCAGCGGAACCGTTCGGCAGTTGGTATCGTTGCTGTTCTGTTTCAAATTGGTGAGCTATTTAGCTGTGATAGCTCAAATACTTTAAGTGCTGTCGTGAGTCGTTTAATTCAAGATATATCGCTCTCATCATTATTGCCATGGTTCTCGTTGTTATTGCCATCATGACAGTGATTATTATCAGTGGGTGCTTTCATCACCAGCATGGCTATTATCATCAGCCGTAGTTACAATCAGTATTGCCCCAAATATGTCCTCGATCATTATCATAATTATAAATATCACCTTTATTGTCGCTATTATTTCTTTATTACCGTTCTTCTCATTAACATTGCTGTTATCGTTATTATTAACACCATAATTATTATCATGATGAACATCAGCGTTACGTCGTTTACTGCCTTACGTTGGACCAGGGCTTCAATCTTCAGTTCTTATGGCTTCTAACTTACTGGGTTTGCAAGGAATGCGATGCAGTTCGCCCATTCAGAATGGAGTTATCGCGATTAACATTATCGTAGGACTGGATGAATTAGTCAGTCATTCAGTCCATTCATTCCAATGATGATATAGACGCATCCTGACTAAGTAGTGTGATCTTTATTTACGATGTGTTAAATGATTCCACATAGAGTGAAGGCTTGTTTTTTCATGTGACAACAGTCGTCATCTACGACTATCAACAACAGCGTCAGGTGACTATGTTTTTCTCAAAGAAGGTTACAGGAAATGACTGATTATTCTCGATGGGCATATTGCGCGATGTTGTATCAGCTAAATTTTATTTGTTGGTTGTAACCACTGACATATAAACAGACTATTCATTTAAATACTTATATATGCAAATTTAAATATTATTGGAGGTGGTAGGTAAATTTCAAAGTCAAGGAAGTAATGAGGTGTCAGGAAGATTCAGCATGCTTGGGATGGTGGACTCGAAAATAACTACGTTTGAATAAAGTGGAAATAACCTTTAACATTGAATCAAATATAATGGTTCTATGACTTAGCAAAGTTAGTCAGTGCAGTATGAGAAGCTCTGAGAGATCTGTTTATTTTTTTATGTTAAGATGCATTTTTGATCAGTGAATTATAATTGCTTAAGAAGTTTGCATTTTAATGGACTGGCACTACAACTGTTTGAGACAAAACGAAACAGACGGAGGGTAGTTTTCATTATATCTACCGACGTTTTAGCTAAATTGCATCGACATTCTTCAGGGCACACGATGAAAATCTGTTTGCCCTGAGGAGGCCGTCTGCAATTCAAGTAAAGACTGTCATTTCTCTGTTTCTTGGTGTCTACCGTCGCAGAAATTCTAGTTCATCGAACAAGAATAGGAAGAAGACAGAATCGAAATGAGTTTCAGAAATCATTTGATATTTTGTTCTCAGTCGCTGTTATGTTGATTTCAGATTCTTTACCTCTCAGTGGTTCTCTATGCCCCATCGCTGGCTCTCAGTTCCGTTGTTAACCTCCCACTGGTGGTTTCCGTTGTAACCACTGGTCTTGTGGCAATTTTTTACACCAGTCTGGTAAGGCGCTAAGATCTAAAGCATTGAAATAGGTAAAGTTTGTGAGTTTGTATTTTTTTAGGGCGGTTTTAAAGCCGTGGTATGGACCAGTACATTTCAAATGGCCATCATTTTCGTCGGTTTCATGTTTGTGATCGTTGACGGCGTGATCAAGCAGGGCGGGTGGCAAAGTATACTGTCTGCCGCTCAGACGGGCAACAGATTCATTCTTGACGAGTAAGCAATAACCATTTTTTGATTCATTCATCTTTTGACCCTTATTAATATTTTTTACAGTATGCGATTTGACCCACGTGTGCGGCACTCGTTTTGGAGTTTGGTCATCGGTGGAACATTTACGATTCTGTCGATGCTGGCCGCCGATCAGCTGACGATTCAACGCTATCTGTCTTTCAAAGATCTGAGGAAAGCGCAGACGTAAGTTTCGACAAAACACTCGTCATCGCTTGATATCTCGATTACGGTTGGGTTGTTTTTATTTTTTCAGAGCCCTCCTGCTAAACATTCCCATGTGCTTCGTAACTTTGTTCTTTTACTGCTCTTCTGGCCTGATCATGTTCGCTACTTACCGATTCTGCGACCCACTTTTGCGCAAAAATATCACCAGGTACGATCAGCTGTTGATCTATTACGTTGCCGACCAACAAAAGTCGATGAACGGCTTGCTTGGACTGTTCGCCAGTGCTATTTACGGTGCCGGTCTGAGGTAAGCGACGTGGCTTAAGGATTTCCCTCACGCTTGTTTATTTTTCACCTATTGTACCATATGCATGATTTGTAAATCACTGACCAACGATGTGAACGTAAAATCATTGATTAATTATTGCGTTGGTATACACACCTTAATTCTGAAATGAATGTTTAGAGCAACAGAGACGCCATGTAATATAGTTTATTAAACAGTGACAATTCAGTGAGTCATTTCTTCTGCTCCTCTAAAAGACATTCGTAAGAACTGGTCTTCCGTTGATTGATAAGTGTTTTTTGTTATGTAGTGTTGAATATTATTATTTTATGTGACCAGTTGTGTAAGAAATTTTTTTAGACTTAGTTCATAAAAATATTTGTGCTTATCAGCAACATGCGAAGCAAACATGATCGCCTAAAGATTAACCTTGATTTCTATCATACCAATAGAGCAGAGAATGATCGAAGCGAGGGATTACGCGCCTGGTCTAAAATATAGTTAAATATAATTCCCATGGCTGTTAGGACAGCCGCAAGAGTCCTTTGTTAACTCTAAGGTGTCTTAAAGTCCTAAAAATATCTGTGTGATATATATTCTCGTACAGCAGTATAACTATATGTACTGGCAGTAAAATTTATTCCTAGATGGGATGGCAATTTTGCCTTCTGGTCATAGCACTACTAACGTTGCCACTGCTAGCCATAATAGCAATGCGCATAGTGCCGGCAGTGGTTATGATGCTACCTATTGTGTGGAAACTGTTACTGCTATTATTAGTAATATCAGTACTATGGCCCATATATTGAGCTAGTATTATGAGTAGTATTACTAGCAGAAATGATAATATTACTAGCAGTAGGAGCAATAATGTTCGAACTAAAAATTGTCGTGATCAACATCTTGAGCCGTTTGCATAAGCAGAACTTCACTGTTTGTGATCCCGTTATGTATTAAATAAAGTACTAAGAATACCGTTTGTACTGTAAATATTGCAATAAGGAAAAATTCGACTGTTCAGTTTCAAGTTCAGACTATCGTCAGGGTGCCTACCTTCAAATGGTGGTTTCAGTTCAGTAGTACTGCTACCTATTGCGGAATGTTCTAAGCAATTTATGAAACCTCATCGATGTTTGCGCTACTCGATAGTGTAGGCAGTAAAAATATTGTTGTATCCAAATCACTGTTTGCAAAGTGTCACTTTAAGAACCTGTTTTTATTTACCGTTAAAATTTTTGTGTACAACTTTACACATTTTTATTAACAGTTACCACAGTATGCTTTATGGCATTTTATGATTTAATAGCATTTTGATTTTGACTTAGATTATAGTTTTCAGCACCCTTTCAAGCGGCTATAACGCTGTGAGTGCTGTTATACTGGAAGACATTGTAAAGCCACTGTATCATTGGAAAAGTCACTCAGTATTGGTCGATACCAAGGCAGCAGTGGTGACGAAAGTAATTGGTAAGTCGCTTCGGTATTTACTGTTTTAGTTCTTCGCCCACGTTCTAAAACGTTTTTTTTTATAGTTGTGGCTTTCGGTTTACTGACCATCATTCTCGCATATTGCTTTCAGTATGTACAAGGCACCGTATTTCAGGTCCGTTTCGATGTGTTATTTTCTGTTAGATAAGTTAAACGATGGTGTAATAGCCACATTTTCCATATCTTCAACAAATAAGAATATTTAACGGCTTTGAAAATATTTTTCTTGTTCTATTTATTTTCTTAACAGAGAATCACAGCTCATGAGCAAGACGCACAGAGAATCGAAGAGGTGTTTAGCGACGGATATCAGGAAAACGGGCAGGCTTACGCCCCTCGAAGTGAGGATGGTCAAAATATTTGGAACGCTATCACTATCACTATATCACATCATGCATGCAGCCGTCTAAAGGAAGAAGGACATTGTCACACAATGTCAGGAGCTAAAACTAATTTCTCCGTGACAAACATCATATTAGATTGACACGATTTGGTATCGAATATGGTGATGGATCATGTATGATGAAAACTTTATATTTGAGCAAAGATTTTATGCACATATCAACATATATTTCCCATCCCTACAACACAGAAGCCGAAGATGTAGTTTTCGTTTGGCGAAAACGCTTTCTTTCCAAGACGGTATCATTGATGCAAAAACAGAAGTATCTACTCACCTATTTTGGCATGGAATAAAAATTTTGCCTCGGCAGTCCTCGGCAGAAGTGTTATTCACGGTACCCCGTTTGTCCTACATATCCGCTACGATGGCGGTAACCTTTATTGCGTTACAGTTTCTTGTTTTTCCACGTATCAGTACTCATTTTTCTGCCTCAGAAGAATGAAATGTATATTAAACCCAGCAGAAGTGGAGACAACATGGAAGTGTGGAAGTGACAGACATCTCAGAGGTTAGAAACTTTAGTCTTTTCTATTTCCGGCGCTCTGGAGAACATCGTTCAGTTCTAGGTGGAACTTTCGATTGGTCTGGGACAGTAATAAGTTGCGATAGCTGCAACGCTGTTTCATTTTCTTCAAATGGATAAGTGTTCGCTTCTAAAGATCGAAGTTTAATACGAACGTGAAACAGCAGAGAGGAACATGTCAGAGGACAGAATTGTAACAGTTGTAAACAGGAACAGCAGGAACTAGTATTAAACTTAATTATAACAGTATTACTTAA